ATAATAGTTTTTGTACGATAGAGTTACCAAAAAATTTATTATGTATATAAAAGGTTTAAAGTAGGTAATTCTATTGTAGGAGGACAAAAAACTATGGACTACCTTCACTCAAACTCAGGATACATCTCCGTTTCGATCAGTTCTGTATATAACAAATATGACTTATTTGGTTGTTGGATTCTACATATGCCAGTACGACAGTATACCTAACGAGCAAGATCAAATTTATTTATATGTGAATGGTAAGTTAAAATATTAATGTAGTAGTAAGTTGATTCACGGAATATTTAATCATGGACCCATGCAAAGCATGCTATATAGTTATAAATAATGTTCGAGGAAGATTTCTACGATATCATAGATTTTTACCATATTTCCGCACAGAAAAATAAAAGTTAAAAATCGAGTTTCTCAGTCTAGTTATTTCTAAATATTCCATATTATAGAAGGATATTGTATTGAAATAGCGCGAAGCTTTTGTAGGCCCTTAATTGAACCAATTTCAAGTTACTCAGTAAATTTAAAGTTTTGAAAAAATGATTATTTCATAACAACAGCGGCAAGCAAAAATATTGATTTCGTTGATTTTTAGATTCTAGTCATCTATCAGTGATTGATAATGAAGATATATCAATTCTTCACGCTGTCCAGTACGAAGACACCATCATTCCTTGCCGGCCTTCAGCACCGGATATTCATGTTAATTTACTGTATTTTGAAAACGACGAAATGGTAAGTTTTCATTAAGTTTATGAGCACTTGCTAACACACTACGAGTAATGTTTAAAAAAAATCCCTCGTTACGCAGCAAATACGCCCGAAAAATGGTAGAATTATAAAAACAGATGAGTTAAATGAAATGAACTTAAACACAATGTACCGATTTGATCCACGGAAAGGGTTTTGGACAAATGATACATTAAGGCCAATTAAAATGAAGAGAAATAAATGGACATGCACTTTTTCACGTTCTAGCAACGTTCTCAAATTGCAAGTACCGATGATTATTGAAGGTTTGCGTATTTCCATCATAGCGCTTTACTGCTATACGCAACTGCTAATTAGAGCTGTGTATATAGCGTTAGGGATTTTGCTTTTTCCATATTTATTAAATGATTTATTCGCGACATTATAAATGACGCATCTGCACCATATACAAAGAATAATAATATGGCTATTAAATCAAAAGTAGAAAACACACAGATTTATTTGAAAGAAAACTATTTTTAAACTTTTAATGTTATACAAAAATATAAAGAAACTGGTGATTAGAGTGTGCAATGGACACTCGAAAACTAAATATTTACTAAAACAATAAGAAAAATTGATCTATTAAATAATTAAACTGCTGCTATTTCCTTTATAAAATTGCTAATATTATTTATTAAATAGGGATAACTATTTTGAATTGGTTTCAGTTACAGGAAATCCGAAAACTAGAAATAATTCACAATTTTTCTATTTTTTCATTAGTTTGTTATAGCTATCTAGTTTACACCAATAAGCTACTTTTCTTTAACCTAAATTACTAGATGTACATTCTTCGGCTTTGTACTTCCACAATTAATAATTTAATTTTAATGATACATCGTTGCGGACGATAAGTTTTTCCATTTCCATTTTTGGGTTTAATTCATGCATTATATTTTCAATTTCATTTTAGGGGCTACTTTAAAAGGGTTACATTTATTTTACAGGTTGATGCCAAATTTGACTCCAAAATCGGATTTACTCTAGCTGTTAGCACTATTACCTCAGGTGGCTATTATCAATGTAACTTTAATCGTGCAAGTGATAATGCTAACGAATTAAACAATTTTATTCTTCAAATTATTCGTAAGTAAATTTACAGTCCGAGGTAAAGGTCATATTAGCAATGAAATGTGCATGTCGCCATGCAGATCTTTATCATCTTGTTATTAATGCTGCAATACAAATCAAGTTGTTACTCTCATTCAATTATTTTCATTGCATTTTCCATGTTGTATGTTCTTTACTTGTACTCCGCATGTTTATTTGTGAATTTGTATTAAACCTTTTTCTTCTAACAATATTCCTTTACAGGCAGTTACTAAACTAAACACCTTTTTCCAAAACTTATGGCTTTTTCTCCATTTCCCAAATTTCAATCTTCATTCTAGCTAATTTGAAAAATGTATCGAAATTAAGTAGCAAAGGAACCCGCCTGAATGACTAAAACTTTCGACTAATTTTCAAGACCTACAAGTTGTGAAATTTTATTTGACGCAGTATTTAGTCACAGTTTAGTCAACATGACTCATTTCAGTAGCGCTTATAATTTTTATTTCGATTGTTTTTCGACTCTGAGCAGATTTGCAAGAAGGAATAAATGGACAGATTATTATAAGTCATTTTATAATTTCTTGAAGGTTTTTAAGGCAATTCAGGACGGAAGCAAAGCAAACATCAAGCAATAATGTTAGAAAACCTTGATAATGTTCCTTGACCTAAAGTGTGTTAAATGAATGGATCCAGTAGGGTGAAACGAAGTGGCGGTAGCGGTTTTGTGGTTATTGTTATTTTTGCGCTGATTTCATAATAGTCTTAGCTCTTATTTGATTATATAAAGAAATTGAAAAAACGTATATTTCTTGGGAAAGCTGCAGCATCGCGAGGTTGCAAAAAATACTACTACTGCTACTACTTATAGCTGAAAACACTGAAAAATAAAAAATCTGCTTTTGTATTCCACATCTCAAAAACGATATTTAAAGGGGCGATTTTTTATTAATAACTTCACATAAAATAAATAATAAAACACACTTTTTTGAAAAATCATCATCAACCCGTGTTCTTAAAGTGATATTAATTCGTATTTTATATTATCACCAAGTAAATATTCCTGTGTAATATTGCTATGGTTTTTACTAAATCAGCTAAGCTTGATTTGTTTGGCAAATTACCAGATAGGAATGCATTTCATATAACACTCATCAGCAAGACAATGTTGGTCACATAATGAAGTCCTAGCAAAATGGATAATTGCAGGCTATTTAGATTTACAAAATAGTCAGCTAGTAGACTATTCTGAATATGTTGTTTTTGCTTATCAGTGTATTATGATTTACCAGTTTGCATGTGCTTTCTACTTAATTAAAGAAAATATATCGCTATCATGAATGGGTTGATATAAATGTTTCGTTCGTCTGAATTATATTTTTCTTACTATTTAAGCTCGCAAAACTTTCCTGGCTAAACCCGTTATCCGGGACATTTCACAGAATCACACCGAAGTGGGTGAAACATTCAGGCTAACATGTCGGATAGCAGATGAAAGCAGTGTCATTTTTAAATGGGAAACTCCTCGAGGAACATTCGCCTATGTAAGATAAAAGCCACAATTAAACCACTAGAAAGCAATAATTAATCAGATAAATCTCAGGGAAATAAGCAAAACGAAAATGATGTTATTCTTGAAAGCCTGAAAAGATATGATATAAATGGGTCAACCCATTTTGACTCCACAATTATGGTAGTCAACAGCAAATTAGATGACATGGGCTTATATTCATGTAAAGTATCCGATCGGCAAGATAATCAGGAAGAAACGTCGATATTCGTTTTTATTCATAGTGAGTAATACAGGTTTTTTTTCATCATATTACAGTTTCCACGCTCTTATTATAATTTCCGATCAAATAAAGTATAGTCCGAAGACTTTGTATTACGAAATTTTAAAATGCAACAGTTTATTTAAAATACGTTTTGTAGAGCTATCTAAATGTGCTAGTGCAAAAATGTTTAAGTTATACACTTACAATTGCTCAGGAATTCACTTTTGTAGGGCTCAAAAAATGGGATATAATAATTTTACTTAGAGAATAAATTGTTATTTTTCTTCTGTATTTCTAGATAAATATGACTGCTCAATTCGATTGCATCCGCAAAACAATCTAACCAACATTGAAGTATATACTGGAGAGTCCGCCCAATGGATAATAGATGTGTCAGGACATCCAATGCCTGAATTGACATGGTAATAATGGAAAAATAATCTTACTACTCAAGTAAAAATTGTCTTAGTCTGTTTATACGTTTTAATCAATATAGATATATGAATAAGCACAGATTTTGAGACGTATTATGCTCAGAAACCTCCGAGACCTGTTTCGATTCTATTACCTTTCATGTGCCGGATTCGGCCTGAAAACATCATTAACTGGGGTTACCTGAGATAACCAAATATCGCAATATGTTCTTCTTTACACCAAAAACCCTTGTTTCTGGTGTAAAAGTTTCGTTGTTATTCAGTATAGAAATATTTAATCTGGGCTTGTTATCCAACTTGCTTAACCGCTTTTGATCAAAAAATAAATCATAGTCATAGAGTCATATGTTTTCACCTTTATGGAATATTTTTACAGGTACGATACTAATGGGGACGTAATACAAAATGACGATATGTACGAAATTAAACAGTATGATGATAATATTATGTATAAAGTGAAAAAAGCCTCACTTAAAACAGCTGGGACGTATAAGGTACAGGGAATTTCATATCGCAACCAGGAAACTGGAAACTGTCCACAAACGCAAGAGCTTTTGCTGAACTTATATGTATATGGTGAGCGAATTCACTTACGTCTTCAAAGATATGACAAGATCCAAGTATAATTACAACTTTAATGAGCAACTTACTGAAACGTGTTTCTATCGCACAAAAGTTGACTTTGCATAGTGTTGTTCAGTCGAAACAAGTTTCAAAGTGTTTTTTTGAAATGTTGTTTAACTGAATGACTTACAGGAATTTCTGCCTTTCAATATCGGTAGTGCATCAACATTAAACTATCCTTCTTTTATAGAAAAACCTACAGTTTGTATAGGATCGAGAGAAACATGTAAAAGTAATCACATTAAACGGCCAAACATCTATAAAATAAATGAAGAAATTGAAGTTGAATGTTCTGCAATAGGATATCCGCTGCCGGTCATCACATGGGAGCTAAAGCAATGCCTAGGCAGTGAATGTTCGTTCGAACCAGTAAGAAATATTCTGCTATTATTGATTGCGTCTATGTAAGAAAGGGATATTTCTCGGGTCGCACAAAATTTAGCAAGGAATACATAAGACCCAACCCACAATAGCGGTATTAAGTAATTTATAAACCTTCCAAACATCAACATTTCAAATAAAATTCTCTTTCTTGTTAAACCGATAGTAAACTTTAAAAATGTTCTTAAACGTATGTATGTGGAAACAAAAAACAAATCTGAGAAAATGTGATTTTTTTCAGATTGAGGGAGAAACGAAGTTTGTATCCCGTAAAAATTACTTGACCAAAAGTTATGTGAGAATTAATGCCGAAAGAGATGGCATCCTTAAGTGCAGAGGGTCCAATGGTTTAGGCGATGACACATATAATACTACGTTTTACATATCTGGTAATTAAATTTCAAGACGTTTTTTACAACCATTGTGAAACAGTTGCAAATTTTTATGGGTTTATGCATCAGCTATTCTTAAAATTGTTCATAAATCACTTGATTTCAGATGTCAAAGATGGATTTGATGTATTCGAGTTTGGGGAGAATTCTATTGAGTTAAGGAATGGATCAGCTCACGAAATAATTATTGCCGAAAATAGCACGATAACATTTACCTGTGGGGTTTGTCCCAAAAGATCCGATACTCTAGATGTCTTTTTAAATGATAGTTTACTAAAGAGTGGTGAAAGTGAGTTTTTCAGCAACATTATTCTCTCTTCTGTTAACTTCCATTGCTCAAAAACTGAATACATTTGATTCTGGGTAGGGAAACCCATTACTCAAACCCCAACCGCAATTATCGCAAACAGAAAGTATCCTCAATTATCATATAAGCAACAACCTAAGGTAATGTAATTTCTTGTATCTTGTATTTTAGGGCACAGTCTTCATACAGTCGGAAATACTCTATCAAATAAAACGACTATAACTCTTCAAGACGCTCAGCTAACTGATTCGGGAAGTTACAGTTGTCGAATAAGAAATCTGCATGATAACTCCTACGATTATCTAAATGTAACGTTCACAGTCAAAAGTAAGCACATGGGGAAGTTGTATTTCCAGATTAATTTAAATGAAATACATTAAATTAGTATACAAGATTCAACTGATTTGTAGAGCCTGAGAAACCTGTTATTTGGGAAAGCAATTTAAACGGCGAAGTTTTGGTGGATTACCCAAATATGACCTACGAACTCTACTGTCATGTTAGTGGCATTCCAAAGCCCGCAATCGAATGGTATAAGGTAAGTTAAAACAAATATCAAATAAATAACGATATATCAATGCGCTCTGTGAAACGTTACAATTCATCTGTTCACGTTAGTATCATTTCCATTAGAGACGTTTTAATCGGCTTCAAAACAAAACCCTTCTTAAAACTTGCTCACGACTTTTGTTTCAGCTTATTAATATCTTTAGGTAGAAACAGTTCCTTCTAGAACTTCTGATAAATGAAACGTTTCAGTTGGTTATAAAGTCAACAAAACAAATAAACACTGAATTTTATTTTACAACAAATACAAACTAAGATATTGAGAGTTTGGGTTAGTATTATTCATTAAAATACACGCTTGTGTATTTGACCAAATCCTTTGTCATATTTTAAGAACTATTACCCGCATTAAAGTATCTTCTAATCAACAGAGTCCTACCTACTATAGAAGTACATAATTTTACATACATTTTTTTTTCTGAATTTTCAGAGCCTCTCCACATTCGTCTAGCCGAAATAATTTGTTAAAAGCATACTTTCTGGCAAGATATAAAAATTAAATGTAACTGATGACAACTTTAATATCGAGAAAACGTACTCGTAAAATGCAAAAAATGATGTAGTACTTTTTAAAACATTGGGCGAAACGATAATAACATATTTTCATTTCTCTATAACCGGTAAACTTGAAAAACATTTTATTAAACGCAAATACATAATCGAATCGGACTCAAAAAACGAAAGGAAAAACTTAAATGGCAGATTAGTAAATATGTACATAAAAAACTGACAAAAGAGTAGGGCTTTTGTGGCCATCGTTTAAAACTGGTGACTTTTTCCGGCTTTTAGACCGTGATAGAAAATATTTTTTTCGGACGTTTTGCACGAGTGGCTTGCATATTCAGTGCTGTTTTCGCTCGAAATCTTACAGTTAATTTTTTTGGACTCCCAAAAGAATATCGAGAAGAAATGCGCTTCCACGACGGCCTAAAAGACCGAGGCAGTTCATAGAACATACAATTTTCTTTGAGCAATACATTCAACTAATAACATGTGGATTAATGAAGTTGTACCTAAAATTGATCGACAATGTTTTGCAAAACCAATGGTGAAATATTTCGAAACACTCTAGCAGCAATTTGGGAAAAAAAAATATGATGGTAAACGTGAAAATATTTGGATTTAGCCAAATTTCTATACTTTGCTCAAAACTTGCCAAAATAAAACGGACATAGACAATGGACTAACCTGAGCCGGGTTAAAAGCAGCAGCAAAGGACAAGTCATCCATCTGCAGAATCATCCAATGCTCAGGGCAAATTTTCACTCACTCACTCATTGAAAACTTGTAAAAAAATTCGCAAAATGTCGACTCCGAAAGGCACTTATGTGTGCAACACTCGAAATCGATGACAAATAAATGGGCAAATATTTAACTCAAATGCGCTTCCGATCGAGCGGTTATATGAAACCGGTATTGGGAATGTTTTGTTCGAGTTTTGTGTAAACACATTCATTCATAAAGATTTTGTAAACAAATTGAAAAAAATATTTGAACATTGGCTCAATTTTTATAAATATCTGAGCAACATTGCCGGACTTCTGAGTTGATATTTTCTATTCATAATATTAACATTTCATTTGTTTATCAATTAATTGTTACGATGAGGAGTTAAACCGCTCTAGATCGACTACGTTCCGAAACGGTTTTAACCTATCAAATCATCAAATTTTTTTATACTTTTTCCGGCTAATTCATTACGGTCTTCAAAGTTAATGAAAACTGTATGCCTTTTTTTATAAAAGATGTACTCAATGTTATCCAAAAATCCATTTTAGGTAGATTTTAAGACCAAATTATTATTTAAAAGTTTCAGAATACAGGCTGAATTTGTCGCCATTCGTCAAATTCGATAAAAATACATAATTCCCGTTCGCTTAATTAGCAACTCCAGCATAACAGAAAAAAACTAAACTTTTCCATGGAAAAGTGCTTTGGAAAAATTAGCTGCAGCACTTTCAGGTTAGCCCTGAAAAAAGTATATTTTTAAATTATGACATGATAAGGAACAATATGTTTGGTAGGTCCAAGTGAGATAAGGGATGTTTAAATAAGATGAGATGAACTTAATTGGCTGAGAAACAATTAACCGCTTAACAAAAAATAATGATTTTCAATTTTTGCATTCAAAACATATTAACATCAGAATATAAGAAAGAGAAACAAAAATATCAGGGTTAGTTATCGTGTAACACTAAAGTTCATCAGTTTAAATTGTATTTGCGAAAATATTATTTAGGCATTAAATAATTCAAATTTATTCATCATTACTTTTGCCTAAAAATTGAATATCAAAAGTAAACTGAAATGTTATTAGCTGTACGAACGTACGATTTTATTTTATTAAATTTATTACATCAGGACCCAATTGCACCCTTTAAATAGTTAACGAAAAAATTAAAGACTCGTATTTTTTAATAACTAATGAAGAGTTTAATTCTAAATTATTCTCCTAAGAATTGAATACAAATGAATTGTCCTAGAATATAATATCTGTAACTTAATATAATATAATTATAACATTTTGCGTTTACATTTCCAAAACAGTGATTATAATAACCGACGACATGTAAACGCTACTTTAACGTCATGTAAAACTGAAACAGCAATTTATGCATTTAAATTGGTCTCCGCTGATGATTCTGATGATGATCATGATACTTAAGATGACAGAAACAGACTTTTTCTAGATAATTTCTGGCAATCCGAGTCAGATGAGACCAAAGCAATTTCGAGAATCTTAATTTACCAACTCATTTTAATTTTAGTGCTGAGTTCCAGAAACTCAAAAAGTATTTACCCATTCGAGAGATCATTTAGAGCTTTTAAATTTTTATGTTCCAACGTCAGTCAGTTTGTCTCCAATAAGCAACTAATTACTATATGGACGATTAAACGTAAAATATTTAAATAAACATGGTCCCCAGTTGAAGCAGGAATCGAAATAGTTTAATAGTATTTTCATTATTCTAATAGTCTGCCAAGTGACCAGGTAATAAGAAAGGGTCTAATTATAATTTCGAGAAATATACTCTATTCGTTCCTGCGCCCTTCAAAGCCCAACAGTCCCTCACAATAATAACATCATTTCTTAATCTCCCAACATGTTTATTTAAAATAGTCCTTCAATTTCCCCCGTTTCTACATTTAAATCGATATCGTATATTGCTGGCCTTGTTGGCAATCCAGGAATTCTAGTAATTTCCCGTGTTAATGGTATTATGAATCCGGCCCCAATTGCGGCAGAAACATCCTTAACACCCAAAGCAAATCCAGTCGGGGCTCCTTTGATTGCAGGATTTCCAGTTAATGACAATGGGGTTTTAGCCATACAAATCGGCAAATTGCCAAATCCTTGTTTCTTATATGTATCAAGTTTTCTGTGCGCCTGTTCTGTGTAGTTAACTTGGCCCGCTCCATACATTTCTTTGGCAATTATTTCGATTTTCTCTCTGAGTGGAAGATTCAGATCGTAGAGGAACTTGAAACTACTGGGTTGTTCTACAGCTAGAGCAACAGCGTTTGCTAGATTTTCAGCACCTTTACCTCCCATTGACCAGTGTTTGGCAACAATCACTTTGAAGGCTCCAGCTTTTCCCAGTTCCTCTACCAGAAATTGCACCTCCACATCAGAGTCAGTTTGATAATGATTTATAGCAACTACAACGGGAAGCCCATACTTAGTGGCATTGCTTATGTGCTTTATTGCATTTGGTAAGCCGTTTCTCAGAAGGTCCACGTTCTCCTGAGTGTATTCTGCAGATAATGGCTCTCCAGGTTTAACTGGAGGCCCACCCCCATGCATCTTTAAAGCTCTGATCGTGGCCACCAATACCACAGCACTGGGAATATCTCCTGATTGTCTACATTTTATATTGAAGAACTTTTCCATTCCAATGTCGGAAGCAAATCCAGCTTCAGTAACAACAATTCCATCCTCTCCTACGAGTTTTAGGGCAATTTTATCAGCCAGTATAGAGTTGGCGCCATGAGCAATGTTGGCAAATGGCCCTGCATGGACTAACACAGGAGAACCTTCTAGAGTTTGCAACATCGTCGGCTCTACTGCGTCCTTGAGCAAAACCAGCAAAGCTCCTGTCACCACCAAATCATCTGCAGTAACTGGCTTTCCAGTTCTATCAAAAGCGACCACCATTTTCGCTAATCTACTCTTCAAATCTGCTAGATCAGTTGCTAGTGCTAAGATGGCCATTATTTCACTAGCAACCGAAATCATAAAGCCTGTTTTTCTGGTCAAACCGTTTTCTGTTGGAGACTGTCCAATAGTAATTTCTCGCAGGAATCGGTCATTAATATCAACCACTCTACTCCAAATGACCTGTTTAGGATCAATGTTTAACCTGGCAAAGTTCACTCTTTCTTCTTCAGTCAAACTGTCCGGGTCAGTTTTGCTGATTCCCAATTTCTGCAATCTCCGCAGTTGAATAGTCGCAAATTTCCTTGAACTATTAACTTTAGGTACTAGACGATCATACAAAGCCTTATCTTGTTGAGTGGCTTCGTGGAATATTCTGGCATCCAGCTGGGCAGCCAGAAGATTATTCGCAGTTGTTATTGCATGAATGTCGCCAGTTAAATGTAAATTCATGTCCTCCATTGGGAGAACTTGCGAATAGCCGCCTCCTGCTGCTCCGCCTTTAATGCCAAACGTTGGACCTTGAGATGGTTGCCTCATTGTAGCGATAGTGTTTTTTTCTCAATATCGTGGATAGAGCTTGAGCCAATTCTAGCATGGTGGTACTTTKACCTTCTCCAAATGGTGTGGGTGTTATTGCCGTTACGGCCACATACTTTCCATTGGGGCTGTCCTTAAGTCTGTTAAGGACTCTCAGAGAGATTTTAGCTTTCTTACTCCCATATGGAGACACTTCGGTGGGCAGCAACCCGATTTCCTCAGCAAGTATATTAACATCTTTCGGAGTATGGCTTCTGGCAATTTCTATATCACTTGCTACTGGCGTTTTCGGATCCAAATGCGATAGTTTTAGATTCCATAATGTCTTCACTCTACTAATAGAGGTTTTTGAGGCACCAACTGTAACAGATCTTGCTAACATGGCGGTCTTATTTTGAACTGTTTGTACTGAATTCTAGCAACAATATCTTGGAATAAATACAATAACATATTTTGCCATTAACTTTGATTGAAAGATTGCTCATCTGTTGTGAAGGTACAGGTTATTTTAATGGAGTTTCGTAGATTGAGCAAGAATTGTTAAGAATTGGTTTAACAAAAAATATCCTCAAAGTTGACAATTTTTTTGTGTGTACTGTTTGCAATGTTTACGAGGTTTTTCTTTTTTAATTTTTAATACTTTGATGATTACTGCTGATCTTTTCTTGCATAATTTGCGTTAACGATGCGATTTTTTTGCGGTTTTAGGACGAAATCTTGATTACTGAATCAAAAAGACTTACTCTGAAAGATGATGGAACCGTTCTTCTATTTAATAAAACCGAAGTGGGAGACGAAGGAATTTATCGATGTGAAGCATTGAATTCGGAAGGATCGGAGTTTCGTCAAGCGCCTTTAAAATTCAAAGGTAATTTTTCTAAATGTTCAATTCAACGATTATCTACGGATAGGATTTTCTTGTACATGCGAATGTCTGCAAAGGTCGCACTTTAGCAGCGGTTTGAAAAATATCCGTGTATTTTTTTACAAACTTTGCTGCAAAAGGAAACTCGTCAACATTTTCTTTATGAAATTAAAAATGTAAAAATACTATTTTACTTATATTTGCAATAAAGATATAGTTTGCAAAATTAAAAAGCGTGAATCTACGGAGCTACACGCACTGAACTGACAAAAGATGATACTACACTTTTTTCTAGTTATGCAGATTAGTTATTAAAATTATTATATTTAGCTGACACTGAAGCGCAAATATTTCAAAAAACTAGTTACCTTAACTAATATACCAAAATTATGGTTATTTTTTCCGGAAACAGATACACTAGAATATAGATGTAACAATTTTTTTTACTACTACTAATAAAATATTATTTTTTTTAGTAAAACCTGTTTCGGTGGTCATCTATTATTACATCACTGGAGCCATTGGATTGCTTTTACTAGCCGCTGTTATATATATTTGCATAAGAATTCGCAAAGAAAGGGTAGATAGAGGTGAGAATGTATCCACAAGTGCTCATATTTATTTCTTCTGTTCCATAGGAATTGCGCCGTGAATTGAAACTGCTTGGTCTAGAAAATTTCCATAATGGAAACCCGGAGAATCTGAATCCCGATTTGGGAATTGACGATCAAGCTGAACTGTTGCCGTATAATAAAAAGTTTGAATTCCCCGCAGAAAATCTAAAAATTGGTAAGAAAGTGTTGCATTTTTGTTACTGGTATTCTACTAATTTTAAACATATCAAATAATTATTAATTTACTGAGTAAGAGCCGAAGATACTCGTATTCTCACAGAGCCATAGTTTTCTAATTGGCTTCTCGGACTAGAAGCGCGTCGGTTGGAAACAATTATTTGAATAAGTTAAATAAGAATACATATTTTTTAATAAGAAAACACACATTTTTTTCAACTGATATTCTAAATGTCAAATAAATTCAATTTTATCTCTCGATAATGAGAGGGATGTTGTAGGTTTTGAAAAATCTATAACAGCGCCATGCTAAAATGAACAGCAAATTGTGGAACTCAGCGTTTTTATATCGAACATTAAATAAAGCACTAAATAAATTAATAATTCAAATAATCATAATTAATATTAATATTTTGAGAGTCAATTGTGTAACCGCTCATAAGGTATGAATAAACACCAGTATTAAGTCTTATAAACTTAAAGCAAAATTAACTTGTCTTCATTATACCTCTTCTTATTTAAATATTACCATTTGGATTTTAGCTAATCAATTAAAAAATAATTTTAGGAAAACAATTGGGTTCTGGTGCATTTGGAGTAGTGATGAGAGCAGAAGCCAAAGATATAATTGAAGGAGAGTCCAAAACTACAGTGGCAGTAAAAATGGTGAAAAAAAACGCCGATCAATCATACATTAAAGCATTGGCATCCGAGCTAAAAATTATGGTCCACTTAGGAAAGCACATTAATGTCGTTAATTTACTTGGAGCATGCACAAAAAATGTTGCAAAAAGTATGTGCAGTAAAACAATTTGGAGTTTCGATCCATTAATGCTAATTTCCAGTACAGAATATAATTCGTTTTATTTGCTGTTTCAGGAGAACTGCTTGTTATCGTCGAGTTTTGCCGATTTGGAAACCTCCAAAATTACATTTACAAACACAGAGAATCCTTTATTAATCAAATTGACCCTGTTAGTGGAAATATAGATTACAATATTGGGGCAGATCTACTAGAAAGGTCATATTCTGTTTCAAGCGATACACGGTAGGCTATAGACCTTATTACTTCAATTAACCAAAATATAAAAAATCAACAGGACATATTCGTTTTCGTCAAAAGTTGAGCTCAAGTTATTTGATCAAGAGAATTTGTATAACAAATATCACTTACAAAGTAAAACCTAAAGCTCTTCAAATTAAGTGAGCAAACTCTTATTAAGTTTCAGTGCTATTTAAAGCGAATAAATGGCAATAAAAAATAATTGAAATGAGAGATTTGTATGACGTTTTTACTGAAAAGTTTTTATCTTGTAAATATGTTACGTTTCTCATACATTCCAACAACAGAATTACCAAATAAAATAATACAAAAAGCGATATTTATGAACTTTTGTAAATTTCACACTACCGAAAAGCGAATACTTCGATTCTTAAAACACTTCCGTTAATGAGCATTATTATATGTTATACAATGTTAAAAAATATTTACTCTCTTCGCTAAATGTGCATATATTTCTTAAGTATTCAGATTTAATAAAATCGAATACTAAATATGCTAAAATTATGCAAAACACACGGTGCATTCTGTTATAAAATCGGGGTTTCTAATCTTATTGGCTCAACGAAATTTCTAAACTTAATAGTTCAAGCTACCATTGGCAATTATAAAAATTAAAATATCCAACAACAGCTATTTACTAAACTTTTAGACTAAAAGTTAATTGAAAATATATTTTTCGTTTCCCATTATTTCTTACTTGTTGCCTATTCTCTGCGTGAATTTCAATATCACGCAACTAAAGAAATGAAAAATTTTCAGCCGCTCTACAATGAGGTCTCAATCAATGCAAGATTACAGAGACCGAGCTCACACTATGAGCGCAAATACTCAAGTTACTTCATTAGGTATGTTTCTCATTAAATTAATTTTTGCATATGCTTTTTGCCCGAAATAAAATATATAAATCAATTTCAGGTGATGAAAGTGTAATGCTGAGTAACAGCAATAACAGTATACAACCAGAGTGGCGATTGAACTACAGAGGAGATTATAGAGGAGACGTAAAACCGATTTCCACCAGAGATTTGTTGACTTGGGCGTTCCAAGTGGCCAGAGGAATGGAATATCTTGCCTCAAGAAAAGTTCTCCATGGAGATCTAGCAGCCAGGAATATTCTTCTGGCGGATAACAATGTCGTTAAAATCTGTGATTTTGGACTAGCAAAAACAATGTATAATGACAACAACTATAAGAAAAAAGACAATGTAAGAACTTCAACTTCAACAATTAATAGCGCCATTAAGCATAATAATAAATAATAATAATTAAGCTAAGTCAACGAGGTTTTGTTTTGCTTTTGTAGAATCCTATACCTGTAAAGTGGATGGCAATCGAATCGTTAAGAGATCGAATATTCTCCACGCAATCGGACGTATGGTCCTTTGGTATAGTTTTGTGGGAATTCTTCTCTTTGGCCAGAACGCCATATCCAGGAATGGAAGCAGATGAGCGCTTATATCACAAATTGGTCGAAGGATTTAGAATGGAAGCGCCAGTTTTTGCATCTCAAGAAATGTAAGTTGTATCCTCCGCACTCTAGTTTCATGCAATTTATATCTACACAGCATTTGCATCAACATATAGGCAAATTCAAGTACATTGATTTTTTTTATAGTTATAACATTATGCTGAACTGTTGGAATACTAAACCTCTAGCGCGGCCATCTTTTACCAAACTCACAGATTTAATTGGAAATTATTTAGAAGATAGTGTTCGTAAGGTAAGTACTATGTTTTAACTCTTTTGTGTTAAAATAAATGTTGGCTTTCTGTCTTGTGGTCTAACAGTTTTGAAATGAAGTCTCTTAAACTAAAATTTTAAGCCATTTACTTTGAACGTATTCACGGCTCCAACTCCTAAAGATATTTTAATACTACTAACATTATTTGCCAATCAAACCAAAAACATTTGAATTAGTTTGATATTTCATATGCCTTGTACGTTTTGCGATCGTGATGAGTGAACGTTTCAATTAGCATGTTAGAATTGTTTCAAGCCATGGATCGTTGTTTAATTCGTATCCTCGTTTATTTGTCTAAGTATTACTTATTTATCTCAATTTGCTAATATTTATCTTAATTAAAGTGATGACAAAATTACGCATTCGATTCGGCCTTGGACATCTGCATTTATAACTAGTGGAAACCTTATAATAGGGATTAATTAAATTGGTTCAGGTACAGTGATGGAAAATGCACTTAAACAAGGCACCACCCATTATGTTTATTGTAGACTTTACTATCTAGTGATAGTTAATTTGGACTCATTACAGCACTACGTCGATCTGAATCAAACATACATCCAAATGAACATGGACAAAATGGAAACTAACGATTTCCTTGCAATGCTCAGTCCGCCTTCTTTTGATGTGTTGTCTACTCCCGCACCAAGATATGTGAATGCCGAGGTGTTTGACGATAATTCAGTAAGACCTCAAACTGCAGGAACTTCGAATGGTTACCTTTTCATGGGCGGCAGTAAAATATTTAGTCCAAGACTTGAGACTGATGATATTTTTAATTTTTCACCTGAACTTAGAAAAGAACGAACTTTGGGCAAGTATCCAATTTTTTATTGAAATGTGTTAAAAGTCCTATATGCTGTATTTCTCCAAAATAACTTCCATATTTTTGTTTATCTAAGTTCTAAGTTGAAAATTTCTTCCGCGTTTAAATTACTATTTACAGAAGTAGGTACAGCACACTGTTAATTCACTTCATATAAAGTAACATGATATGCAACAACTAACTATTGAAATAAATTGCATTTTCCAGCGAAATTGTACATAAAAGCATGTACGGTTGTAACAATATATCACATTTAAACGCACAGAGAACTTGTTAAGATTGTTGTAACAGCGACCTTATTATCACTTTACACTTTTGCTTTAAAATTAGCGTTCCTTTTTGTTATACCAGATAAATTTTTCTATGGTGGAAAACTGCATTTTTTAAAGAATTTCTTTTGTCTAGTGCGTTCAAATAAGTAAATATAATAAAAATAATACAATTTTCAGGTTCTCAAGAACTGAGGCCAATATTGCATTCCAATAACGAGTCAGATGCTGAAACCGGATATCTGACTCCCATAACACCGATAAACAGTATTTCAAATCCCACATACCTTCAAGTCCCCGTACAAGAATCTCGAATACCTGGAAAAGCTGTTCCACAAGTTGCCAAACCAGCTGGAAATAACTACGTTATATTGCCTCAATATAAAAACGATATCAATGAGAATTCGAAAGATGAAGAACATGATTCGTCAGTAAAATTCGGTTTAAGGAACAACGCAGGAGACATTGGAAATAATGTGCATTATGTAAATAGAGACAATGATATGTGGAATTCTATCAACGTGTGAAATGGAAAAAACGTGAATGGTTACATGAGTTACAAGTTACCGATTGCAGTTGCGCCATTACTTCAAGAGATTAAAGTAAAGTTTATTTCATCACGAATTTTGTCAATGTGCCATTATTACTTAATAAAAGCTGTATTAATATTTGTATTAGTAATATTTTTGAATGTATGTGGTTTGATGGTTTGACTGCAGCAGATTTATGATCGATTGTGTAAATAGTTCTACTCGAGAAAGATGTTTAGTTTTGTATTTATTGTTGTATTTTTGTACAAATAAAACATTCAAGAATTTAACTATTTATAATAATTTTATTGAATAATTCCATCCATGGACAGTAAAATCATTAATAGTGATCAATCAAATTTTGGTCATCAGAATTTGGACGAGGTCGTTCTCTAAAGAAAATATTAATTTAGTCGATGGAACTGCGTCCTTAATGGAATGGTTTTTCAAAACATCTTTATTCAATTGATTTAAACAAGTGCTCAATTTTATTTCTGTTGCACTGATAATTCTAAATAAAAAACCAATTGAAACTGGATTCCATTAATCACTCAGACGTGAAGCTGATACATATAATAGTTTCCATATTTTAAAATAATTAGAACGTTTTTCAGTGTTTTGCTTAACGGGATAGATCTCATGTGTAAAAGCCTATTTTTTACACTTGAATTTTTGTTTACTGAATATATTAATAGTTTTTCCACATTATAATAAGAAAGAATCGGATTTAACTAATTGACTTTGAAGTTGCAAAAAAGCAACCACATAAGCTTTTGTTAGAAGTTTAAGAATCGTAAAGATTAATGGAAGAGAACTAAAAACAGTTTAACGACAATACTTGAAATTACAATCAGATATTCATATTGAAAGCTCCCACAAAACTGGACCTCGTATATTTGTCTGAAATTGTCAATCGCTGCTTCTTCCGCATTCCCTGTTCACTAGAATGTAAACAATGGGTTCAGAGTACGAGTACTTTGGGAGTTTCAGCCAGTAACCATTTACTAAAGTGTCAACTGAAGCAAGCGGATTGAAGATTTAWTGATCTCGGTCATTTCAATAATTAAAATAAAATAAGTGCCAAACATTTATACTTATAATAATRCGTTAAACTGTTTATCAGTGATTCAAAAAGTTTGTGAGAAATTATCAATATTATAAATACAGATCAAGACTCATTAAGGTCGAAACGATTACTCTGTTCGGCAACCTCCCTTATACTTCGAATAAATGCGACTTATATTAAATGCAATCCCTGGAAAAGTTATGGAAAGTGCCGATACTTTCTTGACTCTTACGTTACTATTACTACTAGCTTATTTGAGAGAGAAGGGCTTAAACTCACTTTTGAAATGYTTTAAAACAGTTTTATTTATTTCGCATCTTTAGATTCCTAGAATCTGGTTCAGTGTTTACGTTTTCACATGCTCTTGTTTTGCTCTGATGTGACGCGCTAATCAATTAAACCCTTCACAAATGAAACTAAAAATTTTCCTAAACAGATTCTCCATAATATTTGAAAGTATACTCTGCTGGTTGAATTGCTTTTTAGCCTAATTATTTTATTGCTTTCTTATGAACTTGTTATGTAATTCTACTTAATTTTACTAAGTGGTATATTAATCTAAAAATAGATGCATTGCACTGAAAAAGACCAAAACAATATTGCCGTACATATTTTAATAACATTCACGTTTCACAAAGTCCATCAATGCAATATTTAATACCTTTTATGGTACCTATATGAATATGTTTTACCAACTGGAATTTAATCAATAGTTTTAAATCTGAACGGTTTATATGGTGTTCGAGGCTTTCGTGTTTGCAACACCCGACCAGTTGTAAAAAAATGCTATGTAAAATTGCAGAAAATCGAAAACCGCCATTATAAATTAAGCACTCGCAAAATAAATTTTATATAACGGCAAAGAAAAATCTAAAACAAGTTGCGTCTAGATAGTTGTTTTATTAGTTCATATTGCACATAGTGGACGTACTGGATATTCACTGGTCGAGTACTTAATAGATTACAGAAATGCATTTGAATTTTGCAATTATTGCATCGAGAATATTTGAATGGAAAGGAATTTCCGCTGTATAGCCTGAACGTCTTAAGAGAACCGCAAGCAGAACAAAACAAAATTAGCATGTGCAAGCAAACTTGTTTAGTGAAAATCTATGTTGTCGAATCTAAGAAAATTTTTTATCGATTAATACACGCAAAACAATTTATAATTTTAATATATATTTTTTTATTTTGCCGCTAATCAACAACGTTTATAAGCGTCTTCACTTTTGAAGCTTCTACTTTCCTCTCGATTAATTTATCAAGGGACAAGATTTTAGAAAAATATGTTTTGTCCAACTGAACATCAGGTTTATTTAATTAAGTCTTCCATCATCACTTAACTTGGTATTGTCAACATTCGTTACCAGACAGACACAGTTTACCAGACAATTAACAACAATTTGTTGAACAACGCTTCCAGACAACCTGGAAAATTGTCCTCAATGTACATAAAAGTTCATTTTAAGACAATATAAAAATATATTCATTGCATAATTTCTAAAAATATTACAGCTGCTTAAACGTTCTTGCCCTTATTTCTTTAATGAATCTGTGAAAGTGGCATTCTCTTCACTTGCAATTACTTAATTAATTTATCTAATGTTCAGTCACAGTTACTTGGTAGTTTTTATTCGTTCGATTTCCACTGATAGACACACAATTACTTATATTGTTCTGGTGGTTCTAGTAATAAGGACGCCTTTCCAAAATGTTGTGCATTAAAGTTTGCGTTCGCTTAATAAATAGAGTCAATTACTTGTCTACCTGTTGCAATACAAGCTGTGAGTGGTATTAGTGTAAACCTATAAATAATGTTGAGAACCAGTTTTGGAAGGAAATAGAAATAATCATATTTTTACGTTAAATTTGATTTATTATCTATAGGTTTTATTGTGTGCATGTTTGCCGCTATACTAGCTGTTTCACATCTCATTGCAAAATGAATGCATTTTATGGTATAAAAATGTTCTATATATTAAATTACTTCAGATATTGACACAGTATCCATGAAATTTTCCGCAAAACATGAAATGGTTTGAACATTTGCTACTTGTCGGTTGCAACGATCTAGTCACTTTTAAACTTTATGGGTGCCAACATATACATATATTTGTCTTAAATGGGATACTTAGAAAAGTTGTGTTTATGGTCGATCCGAGATACGGCCTTCAAGCGAATGATAATAGTTTAACTGTTTCGTCCCGATTCTGGGTTACTTGATAAACATCACAGAATATTTTTAAACGAAAAACCCATACAGACATAAAAGTTGGCTTCAAACCGAAGCTATCCATAATTCAGCCGCTTTTGATGTTAGCAAATAACCTGCAGAAAATAAACCAAAACGGACATGAAACAACAATTCTTTTCAGAGACATCAACAAAGCTTTAGATAGTGCATGGCATAAAAATTACTTGTTTGGCAGCGGCCCCAAAACTTTAGAATTTTGTTCAAACTGTGACTTTAAAACTCCGATTACTCTCTAAAAAGAGCCCATTTTAATCATTTATTCGGGATTTTTTATCAGCATGAGCAGGTCAAAAACACTAAGTGGTTGAGAGCCGATTTTTCGCAAAGAAATAAATATTGTTGTTCTTGATTGCCATTTTCGCACTGAAATGTGCAGTAAACCAAAAATCGGTGAAAAATTACTTTTGCCTGCATCACTTGTCGCGATCTAGAAGAAATTTTATCTCCATCATCAATCAATCTGCAAGTATATTCAGTAAGGCAAATAAGTTGAATTTTACAATTTTAAACTAACTAATTGTTGACACAAAATAGTACAAAGTTGATAAACGCGAAATAGTTTTGTATATTAAGCCAACTTTATCCGATGCGCCTCGACATTTTGTTAGTGGTCGTTTTTCGTTTTTCGAATTGGATTTAATTATATAAGCATAATAAACCTTGCGGCCAATTTTTACTAGCGACAGAAGACTAAAAGCAAGCACTCTATCTTCATAAGCACATCCCGCAAATGCAACTGGTTTGAGATACAAAATGATTCAATTAAAAATTTCATTTTGTTTTTGGCTGTAACCTCTGTAATCGCACTCTTTCAGAATTTTTTTTCCTAATTTAAATGTAAATTTAAACAGTGCTTCTTATTTTATTTGTGTTAAGTGACAAACTTTTGCCTTCTATACTTACAAAATCAGATGCGAAGAAAATGTAAGAAACGAGAACGTTTCTAAATTTAGAAAAAAATCTATAAAAATATCGTTAATCGAAATATAACTAAAGATAATAAAATATCGTTAGTTGTACATTATAAAAAAGTTTCAGATGATGAAAAGGGAGCTGACACCCCAAAAATTCCCTGTATTTCATTCATTTAAACCAAATTTTCTGCAAACTGAATGAACCGGAGCGAAAAAACCGAATAGAAATTCGAAGTTCAACACCCCGAATCTGAAAACTGCTATTTTCGACATTAGTTTATAAAACAAAAAAACCTGTTCTGTTGTCCTCCACTAACCGTAAAAGTTTGTCGGTGGATTTACAAAACACCTTGTAAAGATCAAATCAATGTATTTACTCGCAACTTCTCGATGATGAATTTTTGACGCAGTTATTTAAAGGTAAGTAATTTTCTAAAACAAATGTTTCCAGTTTGTTGACAGTGTTAGAACATTAACTAGTTGAAGTGATAGTTTCTTGACCGATACACGAATAATTGTGGTCTATTAACCGAATACACAAGGAAAAAAACTGGGACAGTTTGTTAACTTTATAAACTCTTTTCTTTCGAAGCTCATCAGGAGACGACAACAGGGCAACTGGAGTAAATAAAAATATTTAAATAGCGATACTTGTTATTTTATTTATTATAGATATTTGAACATCAGTAAATAATTTTTGTTACGCAGACAAAAAAACAAAGTTGATAATAAATTGAAAATAAGCTAATAAAGTAAGCATGTTATGAGAACAATAAAATAAAGCTGGTCGCTTTTAAACAATTTGTAGTACCGTCCGAAATGTTACTTAAATTTCGTCAAGTAGTTTATAAAGAGTTTCAGCTATCGGCTTTCTGTGCGCCTATTTTAGTACGAAGCGTCCGGCAACGTCGTTGAACACTTTAAACAATTGCATGGGAAGAGGGGACAAGTGCACGACACGCTACTTTATTTATGTTTATATTCAATGGATTAGTTCGAATTCGGGATAGAAGCATTATATTTGCGAAAAGTCGGTCCATCAGAACTCATCCGAAATTCTGCGAGTTTCAGAAATTTTGACGACAATTTGGCTTTTTTAAATCGTTTAAATGTATAAGTTCAGCATCGTGTTTCAAATGTTTGCAAAGTAAAATTTCGCCCTGTAAGAAATTCGAATTTTACCAAAACTGCGATATTTGATTGAATTTAATTTTCAACATGAATGTGACATGTTCGACAAAGTACGAGCTACCTAAAAGTTCTTGGGTCGACATAGAATTTCACGATTTGACTTATACAGTGCCTCAAGGAAAAAATAGTAAGTATTTGGAACTCAAAACACCGCTGATTATTTAAGTTTGTGTGAAAATTGCAATGCTTGAAACACCGAATATTTACTTATTAATATAAATTTGTCAGAAAGTTTTTGGTATTTTTCACGTGGGAATTTTTGGCAAAGAGCTACTTTTTATTCGAATGCATTCCATATTTTGCTGTTTGGAACACTTTTAAACAGTGTAGCTACGTATTGAAATTTTCGAAATACAATCCTTTTATATAAAAATAAATAAAAAACATCAGGTTCATTTGCACCCTTTTCTTGTAAAAATACAGAATGTTTCTTTGAAGAACTGCAACATTTCATTCAAAACATCATTTTGACCATTCAAAGAACTCGTCGATAGCAAAAATTACCCTAAAACACATTTTATAGGAATTAGAAATCGCTGTTTTTTGGAAAGGCGTACAAATCACAAACAACACCGAAATTTACTTAATTCAAATTTAAATTTAATATTTTAGCCTACTATACTTATTTGAAAACATAAATTCAAGAGCTTATTGCTTAATAATATGTTGCCTCCAAACAATTGAAAAATATTTGAGGATAAAACTGAAAATTTACATTTATTTTCATACAAATCTAAAAACATACAAAGTGCTCAGCAGAAATAAATTTTTGAAAACCAAGAAAAAAATTCATAGATCGCCAGTTTTACTAAAACATACATAATTTTTTGGAAACTAATCTGGAATATTTGCTTAAATCAAAGTAAAAAGTCGTCGTCATAAATATGGTGATCAAGCCAAGTTTTATTAGTAATAATTAAATCATTTAAATTTAGGCTCTAAAATATTTGTGATTAAAAAAAATCAATTGGATTATTATCTTGAAACTTTACAGAGTTTAGAAGTTCAAAAAGTTTACAAAATGGTAAATGTTATTTTCGAAGCAAAGGAAACATTATATTTTATGTTTTAATATTGAACTGACTTTTGCTTTAATTAAGTAAAAATTAATTTAATGAATTAAATTAAAGAAGACGTTTTTGCCTATCCTGAGGAAATTTGAAGAAAACATATTCTTTACTTTCACGGAAAAACTGAGTAATTTTTGAAAACAAAGGAGCATTTGTTAATATAAATACTGTTTATTTTAATGTTTTATAAATATTATTTACCTTTGTTTGTACCATTAACATAAAATTCGTAATTTCACCAGGAAGAATTTGGTTTTTTCAATAAAAGTTTACGCGTAATTAGTAATTAGCATAAGATATAAATAAATTATTTGCTTTCAAATGTAATTGAATAATTTAACGAAAAAAAGAGGAATGTTTGTTAAAATAAATCACCCTTCTTTGTAAGATTAATTTAATATTTTTATATTAATATTTTCTAATACAGTGTCTGACATTTCCCAAGAAAACGAGAATTTTTTGGCGGCAGAATAGACATGGTGGTGCTGGGGACTTCATAAAGATGAAATTTTCAGTCATCCGGTTAAATAACAAGAACATAGAAACAGTCGAAGTAACACTAATAATTTGCTTAATACAAAAACAGCAGATTTTTATTATCCTGTTCGTCTGCATAAGAATATTTAATTATACTAAATAATTGAAAATTACGCAGTGTTTAAAAGACAAACCAAGACATTGTTAAAGAACTTAACTATAACCGGACTATTTAAATAATTATTTTCTACAATAAGTCGGTATATTAATCTTTGAATCTGTATTATTGACAATATATCATTTCATGTTGCTCTGATACTTATCTACTTATGTGTAATTGTATTGTAATTGCAACGTTTGAAATTAAGCTCTATTCCATTCTAATATTATATGGTGTTCGTGTTTGTATTGAATAGTTCGTCAACAACATTGAAATGAGCAATTGAATGTCTATAAAGTTGAATTGATTCTAATTGACTTGAAAAATAATTCAAATTTTACATACTTATCATATTCGCAAGCAAAATCTTCAATATCCCATCCAATTCTCGAAAATCGTTGAAAATTTGCTTGATATAATTACAAGCTTTTATTGTAAAATTTTCTTTCCATATCTTTTATATGTGGAAACAATTTTCAAGCCGGTTATAAACTTCGAAAGGTTAATGTTTTCGTCTTAGATCCTAAGACATTGACAAAGTTTGCAATGGTAATTAAGATTCTAACTACTAAATAAAACAAATCTATTGATTTTATCATACACAAAATTGACATCTGGTTGCTCAGTCCATGGAAAATTTTGCAAAACCACATTTACCTGGTTGTTTTACATGAATGACGGAATGTTTCAGAAATTGTAAGCCATGAGCTAAACTTGTGCTTGCAAAGCATACTCAACCGTATAATGGGTACCTATACCTACTTGATTTTCTAATTCATGAATATATGTATTTTAATAATTCCATAGCCTATGTTCACTTGAGCTTAGTTCGTAATTACAGTGGATGTATGATTGCTCTAGTGCTACGGAGGTACATTTTTTAATATATCAATCGCAAAAATCGCAAACTAGTGATGTATTATTTATGTTTTGAAATATTAAGTGAATTCAAGGCATCCAAAGTATGCAAATGCTCTTAAACGTCTCAAATCGTGCAAATATGAACCTTTAGAAGCTGCAAAATCACCTAGCGATGTTTTTAAGTCAGAACACACATATGTACTTATATTCGTTTCGTGAATAATTCTATTGAAAACAAGTGTTTTCTAATGTGTTGTTCAAGTGTTAATAAATCACTTTGCTCAAAACTAGCTCAAACTCGGGAACTCATTCACGGATTTCATTTTTTTAGTTTGTCCACCCTGCAATTGACCGTCAACAATTTTCTATTCTATAAAATCAGTAGGTACCTACTATAATATGACCATTTATGTGTTTCCTGTATTCAAAATGTGTGAAAATTGCAATTCTCACGAAAGTTAATTAGAAAATGGTATTTTTATTCTTCAAAACGAGATATCAAAAATAACAAAGCAGAAAATCAGGGGGCTGATTAGTAGAAACTGAAGTAGCCCTTATTATGCGAGTAGAATAAAAAATTGGAAATATGACCAATTATTTTTTAGCTACTCCATATTATTATCTCGTTCATATTACTAAAAACATTCCACTATCACAACGCAGCATTAAAAGCATCAATTAAACATTTGCTAGCAGAGGAGAGCGTGTTGAATTGCAGTCATTGGTAATGGCCTACAACCAATGGCTGCAATTAGAACAACTTCAAATTCCACGACCTTTCTCAACAGCTATTGAATGCCAGACCAGAAAATTGTGGTAATTAATATTAATACAATTGGTTGACGGTCATTAAAAAATATATTGAGCGAAAAAACTAATTAAACCTGCATGTTTTGCCGCAGAATATCTCACTAGACAATTTATTGAAATTATATTTTCCGCTGCTAATAACAGTTTAGTTTGTTCATTTATGTGGTTATTTAGAACGTTTATGGGCATTAAATTGATGAATCACTTCAAGTTTTGTATATATATGGTGTTCTACTTTCATCTAGCTTTAACTGAATAAATCTAAGACTGTTGCTACAGGTATATTGTATGGAAAGTGTTTAAGTAAATTTGAAAACACCAGTTTGAAATGCTCGGGATACTCACAATTTCATCCAGAAGAATACAGTTTTTCGCAATCAAAGTTTACGTGTAATGATTCCAAATTCAAAATTAGCATATGACATAAGAACTTGTTCTTCTGTAGGGTTTTCGCGATATCCTTTAAATACGAGAAATTCTATGGTTTACTTTTTATTCACTTTTGCTTAAACCCCCATAGTATCGCTACAAATACAAAAGAACAATAGAAACTATACAGAACCGACATCTGTTCCAAGGATGAATCATTCCAGATCAATATATCGAGGACAAATGGAGAAAAATTGAAAGAGAAGACGAAATTATATTCAAAAGCTAAGCGTTAGATAATTAGCTACACTTAAACAATCAACAAATACATAAAGATAAACTGGAATTTTATACTTATTTTGATCCAAAGCTAAAAATCTTATACAAAGTGATTGTTGAAATAGTGATGAAGTAACCTAAATAACAATTTTTAGTTTATCTTTTATTTACTGTTAGTAATGTGTTGTAATGACCTATGCACAACCTACATATATTTTCAGGACAAATTATTAGAAAAAAACTAACAATAGATAAAATAAAAAGTAAATACGTTAATAAAGCAATATAGGGAGGATATGCCCAAAAATTGGAAACGAAGATGAAAAATCATACGTGAGAAAAACTTAACAACATTTACGTTATAGAAAATCCTGTTTATTTCAAACAATCGATCAAGACGGAACGGAACTAAAGGAATTAAAACACATCTTGAAGCTTATTTCACATCTTCTGAAAAACCTACAAAAATTAACCACCGAATAAAATCCAAAACTCCAGAAAAATGATCGAAAGTCCGTGAAAAACTGTTCACCTGAGATTATTGTTAAAGGTTGCCAGGTTTTGGTTAAACTTCAACTTGAAAACTTGAAATCCCTTGCAGTCCATTTAACATCCTCTGGAAATGCCCTTAATAATCACGATCATTTCTCACTGCTTCCCTCGTGTTAAAGAGAGTCCAGTTGACTCGTTTGTACCTGACAAATCCACACTCTCTCAAAAATCTGCGCTCTCTGAACCTCAGAACTTTTTAAATGCTACAATTTTAATATCACTTTAACATCTTCCGGGAAATCATTAAAAATCAATCGAATTTTGAACTGAAACTTTCATAGTAAAGGCTGTGAAGTAGTAAAGGGTAGAAAGTGTGTAGAAGGGAGACAAATTAACTCATTTACCATCAAAATGGTGCTTACAACATCTAGAAAATTAAATACAAGATGTGCTACCAAGTGTGTCTAAAGGTGCCCTAACGTTTGTTTTAGAACACGTTCAGAAGATGATAAACCAGAACAGATTACAAACAACGCAAACTAAGGAATCTCAATTCCAAGGACTACTAACTTTAAGGAATAAAAAAATGAATTAGAAAGTTAATTTTGGGATGAAAGATAAATAGAATTATATGCTGATATTAAAAGTCAATCAGAAAACCAAAGGTGGTTTTTATTTGAAAATGTTTAAAAAATATAATTAAACTTAAAAAAAATCCTTGATATCACGATAATAATTATATAGAAAGTAAGTACGATGATTTTCATTCCACTAAATTCCTTGATTAAAGTGCAGGCAATAAATTGCTTCTGATTTTTCTGCTCTTCATCTTTCTCGTTTCCGAAATTTTTAATACTATTAATAGTTAATTCAGCAAATTCGTTCTATRTTCGTCGGTTTAATTGCAAAAAACAACTTTGTTGATATGTGGAATAACACTCTTACACTAATAAATACGTGATTGTGAGTGTTTATGATTTTTTTAATGGAACGTTAAATGATCAAACTTAATTGAATTAGACGTAATTAGTATTAATTAGAGCAGATCTGGGAAATRTTTGCTAAACATTATAATCGGCAACATGCATCACCTGATGCAGGAACAACACATTTTATGGAAATTTTCTTACAAACTCTTTCACGTAAATCGGTCACATATCCATACAAAAATAAGTGATGTGCAGATGAAAACGTATCGACTATCAGTCATATTTTTATTACGGCAAGACCACTGTGATAAGCATTTTCGGTATTTTATTACTTGCGAAACTCAATGGTTAACAGTGATGCAGTTATTATATTTATTGAGTGGTGGAAACGTTAGCTTTATTACTTTCCATCACTTTTTCCATTTGGTAATTTTTTGCTGATTTTTATTAACTGAAAAACTTTTCGCTTTATATCAAAAGATCGCTTCATATCAAAATCGGCAAACAAAGTAAGTACAAACGATAGAAGCATTTTGAAAACTGAACTATCTCGGTTATATAACATACATATTTTTTTTGCTACCGGTATTTTAACATTTTAATCTGCTGCTCTCTATCGTTTGTGTTGGCAAAGTTGAAAGGAACTTTTAGAAGATTTTGATTTTAAGTGTATTTTTTATGTACCTAAATATAATATCTTTCATTTACAATATCTATTAACTTCATAGAGCAACTCATGTAGCAAGCGAAACTGAAATATGTTAAATATTGAAATAAATATCAGCTTTTTTTTCTACTAAATTCAATAACCGGTTTTTAACAGCGATCAACATAAAGTAGGAAATTAATTGAAACTACGTCGAAGGGAATGAAAGAAGGTAAACCAAATTCAAACGGAAGAGTAAAATATTACCGTAGTAGACAAGTTCTGAAATAATAACTTGCATTCATATTTTTTTATTGATCCCTATTTTCTTGCAAATGTATCTCTGTCAAAACTAACGTTCTTGAAATAAACTTATTTTTCATGTTTGGTTTCCACTATTTCATTTCTTTTCAGCGGGAAAAAGCATCAACAACATCCATGTTAAATTAATATGTTTTGGTTATTCCTTAACTGATCTTAGACTGTTCCGCTAATTAACTTTGACGACTAAACAAATATACTAGCGAATAGCAGCAAAAGAAGCCAAACATGTATATATTTTTGCAACTCATTCAATCGATAACATTCGACTGGAAACATGTTAAAATAGATTTTTCGATTGGTTCGAATATAGGCCATTGACTAATTTTTAGTTATCCATTCGCAGTGTTGACCTCTCAAAGTTGTTCAAGTAATATCTCACTTCTAATTTATATGGGACTAATTTTATCTTGTTACCAAATAAATTTGCTTGATTCAATTGCGAAAATTTAAATATGATAAGTGATTCGAAACTATAGTTTTAGTTTCTTTATAATACAGGAAGGATGCTTTAACTGGAATAAATTCTCTAGGGGAAGGTGAACAATTTTTCTGAAAATTTCCTAGACAATCCAGATGAAAAATACAGCCTTTCAGGTGTAGCTGAAATCGCCCCTAACATGTCTCTTTCCAATTCATCCCCACGGCTTTTGAAACCTTTGAAAAATTTGAGTTATTAGTATGTTTGAGCGTTCCACAAACCAAATCGTAGAACACGATATTCATTGTTTATCAAAAATTACATACATTTCTACCTTTACGGTCACTGAAAGCAGAGTTTATCCACTACTTAGATAAAGCCATGTATATCTTTCACTTTGCATGCAGCTAATTAAATAATTTCTCTCTTCTCACTAGTATTCTTGGAGCTTTCCACGAACAGTTTATGTATTACTTATAACATATGACATGACCTTATATATTTAATTGCATAGTTTTTGTCAATCATTTTCTTCCCACATTTAAACAATGTGCAGCCGTTTAATATACTTTAGAAAAAAATTTGCTACAATTGGACCGTGTGCACGCAATAAAGAAAGTAATTGAAATTTATTTGACTTCTGCTATAGCATATAACAGTGGTCTTATTACTGAGGATTTCAAATATTTATATATTAAGACGAACTTATCTATTTATTGTAAGAATTATTAACATAACACTCTCCCATGTGTAATTATTATCGCATTTAAACACTTCGTGTTGTTATGACTTTGCTCGTATCAATTCGCTCTTGTCGCACTAATATTTGCTTGCTAATTTACACTCTTTGTATACGGTGATTATATAACTGCAGTCAAATTTGTGGGGGAGATACGTTGTATTGGGACAACTCAGTTATGCGAAGTTGTTTTTCGAAAATGTAGCTAAATTTGAAATGTTTTCAACGTGTAGCGGCGAAAATATTTAGTCATGGAGATGTTTTCAGGCTTCTTATGAGTGCGTTTTGGTTGTACCTACTTTTATAATATTTGATTTATTTACTAATTTTCTTTCACTGGAAAGCACAATTCCTTTTTTCCAAAGGCTGGCCTTTTGTTGCTCTAATTTTTATCTTTAATTGATATAAGTAGATTTCTAAACCAGAAAGTATGGCGAGATTTTAAATGTTTTCAATGTGTGTGACAAGCAAAAAGGTGTAGCAATAAAGACTTTTCAACATTTCTCTGGATGCTCTTTGGTTATATATTTATAATATTAAATTTATTTATTAATCTTCTTAGCTTCTTTTACTAGAAAGCGCAATTCATTCTTTCCAAATGCTGCCTTTCTGTTGTTATAACTTTACTTTATTTGTTATCGATTTCTAAACCACAATATTTTATCAACAGCAGTGTACCAAATGACTGTCTTTAGTTTAAAAAAAATATATACCGATTATAAATAATACGCATCCGAAATTGCTAAGGTCACGTCCTACATAATTTTTAAAGTATGTTTTTGCTACTGCGAATATGTTATTTGCAAATTGCTCTAATTATTTTTAAGGCTTAAAACAAAAGTAATTATAACTAATTTGTATGAATCATGTTTCTCAGATATTATCAAAGCGAACATTCGACAATAAGCGAAGTTTGGCCTCAAATAATCTACCTTACATATAAATATGTGGTGTTATTTTTATTATAACTAGTGCCTATAAGACTGAATTTGACCGGGCAAAAAAGATTGTTGCAAACAGCTATAATTTCATCAAAACTCTTTAAGTTGTTCGTTTCAGTCAACAGGCTCAAACTACTTCAACATTTAAACTATTGCCCAATCAAACGCCAAAACAAAAATTCACAAATCCAGGCCAGAAATTAGTTAAATATTTGTGGCTCGTGCTTCCAACTTCTAATCTTCTTTCTTCTATATTTGCGTTAAATATTTGCATAAAACATCTCGAGAAAGTAAGTCGCATGGGAAAACGGCTTGATAACATAAAGTGCCTTAATCCTAGTAAATTGCCCCCAATCAGCTTTATGTTATTCCGTTCGATTAACTATCAAATTGAACTGCAAATAAAGATTCTCCACTTCATACCTGTAAAATAGATTTATTGTTGTTCTTATATTTATAGTCAATGATATTCAGGCAAATTGAATAGAAATTGATCAACAAACAACAAACAACATAAATAAACTAGAAAAATTTACTATGCCTAATTGAATACTTGACCAAAACCTGTTTTCTTACTCTTCCACTCAATGGCGACTTAGGAATCAGTCAAGTAATTATATCATTAGTTATAAAATACTTTATTATTAATCAAAATTAGTACTGCAACTTAATAGAAAAGAAAAATTCATTTAAATCGTGTATTAGAAATAAAAAAGTTAGTAAAGTAAATAAAATTAGGAACGAAATTTCATTCTTTCTACAATTGTAAACCACTGTTCTTTCAAGACACGTAATAAGAGAATTGGCTTTTCTCTGATTATTGCTGAAACCTGCTCTATTCGAAGGTTTTTCATCAAATCCCAGAAAAAAATCATGGCAATCATGGTTCATTTCGGACAATCCAACTGTTCGGGAAAAATTTGTGTTAACAAAAAATAAATCAAATATTTTCTGAAATGGACAAGGCTCCATCCTGTAGAAGCCGCACGTCTAGTTTTAGTTAAACGAATAAATTATCTTCCAGAAATAAAAAAAAAATTCCAAAAAATAAAAAGGTTTATGCGGCCCAACTGTAAGCTTGTTGATATTGTTGATTCCATTTAGCGTCAATGTTGTTCCGTTAGTACCGAAAATTGTTGTTGAAAACTGTTCATTCGCGATGATTTGCAGTCAATCACTCGAGTATTCGATGGATCTTTAACAATAACATTTAAAATGTGTTCTTTCTTTTGCACATTTTCACGTTTTGTTGCCAGGAACAACTCGCAAATCACCAGAAATTCTAGCTAGTCCAATAATGCTTGTAAAACTTCTAGATGTTGGATGAGTTTGCAAGAGAAAACTTTCCGAGTTGATTATAGAATCTGCCGCACTTTTATTTAATAGGAATAATTCAGTGAACGGAACGAAAATCGTGCTAAACATAAGAAATTGGTGTGGCAACATTTCAAAACTTTGCTGTAACTTTTCAACTTACATCAATAGCTTGAAACGAGCCAATTTCAAACTAATAACATTTGATACCACACTTAAAAAATGAAACATTTACTCTTGTAATATGCACATTTTTATTTTTATTTAATAATTTTCCTCCAGTGTATTACAACTGTAATTGGCCCAAAAGTAACTTCTGTTGTGTATTATGTCATAAAATTGTGTTCTAGATT